GCGAAACGGCTCAAACGGTGGCCAAACCAGGATTAACGGCCAGGAAGGTTTTGCTGAGTGCTTGGTGGGATTATAAAGGAATCATCCATCATGAGTTAGCTTTCATATGGCCAAACACTAAATTCGGACCTCTATTGTCAACAATTGGACCGTTTGAAACTAGCGATCGACCAGAAATGGTCGAATTGGCCGAAACGGCCAGAATTGGTCAATAGGAAAGGAATTGTTTCTCATCAGGACAGTGCCAGGCTACATACGTCTATAGTGAGTCTATAGTCTATAGTCAGAAACTCCGAGAGCTTGGTTGGGAAGTTTTGATGCATCCACTTTATAGTCCGGACCTGACACCAAGCGATTACCATCTGTTTTTGTCATTGCAAAACTTCCTTGATGGTAAGAAATTGACCTCAAGAGAAGACTGTGAAAATCGCTAAGTCGAGTTTTTTGCAAATAAGGACCAGGGCTTCTAGGGAAGAGAGATCATGAAATTATCTTTAAAATGGCGACAAATTGTAGAACAAAACGGTGCTTATTTGACCAAAATCGAACAATCCTAATTATATTAAATAAAGCCTTGAAATAAACGAAAAAATAATGGATTTCTTTTTCCCTAACCTAATATGAGCATAAATATCATTATCTGTTACTATTAAATTGGTTCAAGTACATGTCACTTTTCTACCGTATGGTCATCCTTGCCGTCTTTCTTTTCGAGCATCGCGGCAGCTTTCTCGACCATTTCTCCGTTTCGCTTACGGCTTAACTTACTCACTACCTAGGCCTTAAAATACTAAACACCAAACAGCTACGAAAACACAAAAGAATAACCGCTAATCGCACTACGTTTACAAGCGGTAAGTGAAGAACAATTAAAAGTGAGACTCATGCCAGATTCGGAACGCTAAGAGAATAGCTATTGCTTGCTTCTATCTCCGCCGCACGCTGTTCTGCTACAGTAGCATGCTCATCTGCTGTGAAGTTAGCCTTTTCAAAATTTGAAAAAAATGAGCAGAGTTCTGATTGCCCCTCAAAGAGTTCTAAAGTTCTCTATCTATAAAAAAAAGAGTTCCGTTGATTAAAGTGGTCAAAACACGAAATAAAATTATGGGAGGGCCAACTTCACATTTGCGTAAATTTAAAAAGCCATAACTTTTTTACCTTAAACTTTAGCGCTTTGATGCTTAAGGAAAATCGACAGAACTCTTCAGGGAGCTAGCAAAACTCGAAAGAAATTGACCGATTTTTGAAAAAGAATTATCTCTTGTACTTAGAAATTCGGCATTTGCGATACATTGATGAGCTAGAACTCTTTCATTTTTGCTCGAATCGATTTTCGAAAAAAAATTTTTTTCGAAAATCGGTCAACTTTGGAGTTCTAGTAGCCCCCCAAAGAGTTCTATCGGTTTTCCTTATGACTTGAATCGATTCGAGCAGAAATGAAAGAGTTGTAACTCATCAATATATCGGAGATGCCGAATTTTCTAAGTAAAAAAAAATTTTTTTTCAAAAATCGATCAATTTCTTTAGAGTTTTGGTAGCCCCACGAAGAGTTCTATCGGTTTTCCTTATGACTTGAATCGATTCGAGCTGAAATGCAAGAGTTCTAGCTTATCAATGTATGCCAAATTTTCTATGAGAAAAATTTTTATCGAGAATTGGTCAATTTCTTTAGAGTTCTGGTAACCCTCCGATGAATTCTATCAGTTTTCCTTATGACTTGAATCGATTCGAGCAGAAATGAAAGAGTTCTAGCTCATCAAAGTATCGCAGATGCCGAATTTTTTAAGTATAAGAGAAATTTTTTTTCAAAAATCGGTCAATTTCTTTAGAGTTCTGGTAGCTTCCCGAAGAGTTCTATCGATTTTTCTTAAACATCAAAGCGCTAAAGTTTAAGATAAAAAAGTTATGGCCTTTTAAATCTACGCAATTGTGAAGCTGGCCCCCCATAATTTTATTTCGTGTTTTGACCACTTTAATGAACGGAACTCTTTTTCTTATTGATAGAGAACTCTAGAACTCTTTAGGGGGAAATCAGAACTCTGCTCATTTTTTTCAAATTTTGAAAAGGTGGAGCTAACTTCACAGAGGTAACATCGCTTGTTTGTCTTTCGTAGAGCGCCTACGCCGCGCAATATCGTTCTCAGCGTTTCCTCTTTTCCTCTTTCTTGTCGCAGCTCAGCCTGAGCTGTTCGGAGACTTAGGATGCACGTCGAAAAAGCGATAGCAAAATCGATCGGCGTTAAATAAGATATCGGATCTTACAAATTTTCGGCGAGAAAGAAATACGTCACCCGGCAGACCGCGGGGACCGACTCTGGCAGTGAAATTTTTTTATACGATCCAAGATCGCGGTCTGCCGAATGACGTTTTTCTCTCTGACCGAAAACTTGTAAGACCCAATATCTTATTTTACATCGTTTCATGTTTCTAAAAATATCATCTAGGCAATTAAATACTAATAAAGAACCTGACATAAATTTTTCATAATTATTAATAATTGTATATATTAATTATATAGAGTATAATTAAAAGTCGCGGCTCGGCCAGAGCCGCTTGAGGACATAGGATTCACGCAGAGAAAAGAGATTCATGAAGAAAAATCTATCGCGTGGTAAGTCAGTGTAACAAGGCGAGCATGAACGCGCCTCTCAGTCTCACTCACTGTGTCAAGCGCGTAAAGAGCGTGAGGAGACCGAATGGTGGAGGCAGGCTGTGACCGTGCGCGTGGTGGCATTCGCAGCACTGCCTCGGGCCCGCCACCATACGCGTAAGGACGGGAAAGCGACAGGCGAAATGCCCGCCTCCCCCTTGCGTGACGGCGATGGTAGGTAAGGGGGGAGTGGCGGCCCGTTTGGGTACGGGCCCACTCCCCCTCCCCTCTGCCAAAGAGGAGGGCTAGGAGAGAGGATGGGTGTCCCCTTTCTTCAATTAGGAACCAGAAGGCCAACCCGGCCGGACGACCAGCCGGGGCGCCGCGCCCCGACTCCTTTTGTGGGAGGCGGCGCGGCACTTGGGCAAGGGACTCCATTAGAGCCCCAGGACCGAGTGTCGGAGAGGAAGTGCAGGCGTAGTTCCCCCGACTCCCCACATTCCGGCCCGACTGGTAGACACCTCGGTGGGGTTTTAGCCGGTAAGAGTCCGGCATAACCCCCGCCCCCTCCCCAAAGGGCCGCGGTATCCATAAGGATTTCCCCACCGTGATAAAAAAAAAACAAGAAACGACTAAGACATGTTCTAAAAATTGCACAGCTTACAAAAAAATTGGCAAAAAGTGGTGAGTCAAAAAAATTTTTTTACATTTTCGGAATTTTGAAAGTTGTGCGGATTGTGCTAAATAAGCCTAAAAATCGTTTTTAATGGTAAAATGTCCTCAGATGGCTGGTTTTCGCAGTACGAGCATCTAAAGGAAGCAACAGATCAGAGCGGCAAAATTAAGATGCTTTTTGGCTGTACTATGGACTACGATGGTCTGATGTAATTTTGTCGTTAGGAAAAATTGTTGGGCTTGATTAGCACAACCCGGCACAACTTTCAAAATTACGAAAATGTAAAAAAACTTATTGGCCCACTACTTTTCGCCAATTTTTTGCAAGCTGTGGAATTTTCGGAATTTGTCTCAGTCGTTTCTTGTTGTACTCGACTATCACAATTCAGTACAACTTGCAGAATTCGAATATCTATCACGGTTCAAAATCTATAGTGATCTGAAAATTATTCCTAAAATTATTCCTAAAAATTACTTTTTTAAACGCTCGTACTGCGAAAACTAGCAATCTGAGGACATTTTGCAATTAGAAAAAGTTGTTAGGTTTGACTAGCACAGTCCGGTACAACTTCCGAAATTTTGAAAATATGAAAAATTTTTTTGCGTCATCAATTTTTGCAAATTTTTTTTGCAATCTGAGTAGTTTTTGATACATCTCTAAGTGATTTCTTATTGTACTCGATTAGCACAATTCAGCACAACTTACAGACTTGCGATAAATGCATTGTAGAAAGTTATTTGTTAATATGTATTTTAACTTTAATATTTTTTTCTACTGAACAAAAGGAGATATTCAGTTTCTTCAAACAGCAAAACGCGGCACAAATTACTAGGAATTTACAAATAAAAATTGGGTTCATTCGGATAAAAGTTGGGAACAAATTTTCGTTTTTATTTTTTTTCTTAAATAGTATTGAAGTTATCGGTCTTGCGTGTGTAGCAAATCAGCAAACATAGTACAATATGGTACAATAAAGAAAAACTCAAAATTCGAAAAGTGCGCGGCTACCAAAAATTTAGTTCTTCTTAATTTTCTTGAGTATGATTTGAGTTACAGAGTTGCGGCACAATACGGCACAAACGTAGCACAATGCAGCACAATTCGAAAAAATACAAAATATGAAAAATGCGGGGTCAGCTTCACACACGTGATGCGTTGTCTTCTCCTTGGCGCGTACCGGCAACAATTTTTGTATCGACTGGGCCGCGCTGTGGCCCGAGCGGCTGCATGCTTTTCCAATCATCACGACGCGTGCCCATTCCTCAGATTTCTGTCATTAACAACTCAATAATTATTGCGATTCTTGCAAAATTGTATTTTACTTTTCAGCTTAACCCAACCTACCTTCGAGTTTGCAGCTAATTACCGGACACCCTGTATGTTTCATCAGAAAGCGGCATAAGTCATAAAAGGAAACCCCTTGACCATCTTGAGATACTTTCTATAAATGTGCGTGCGTGCGTGCATGCGTGCGTGCGTGTGTGCATGCGTACGTGCGTGCGTGGAAAACCGAATTTAAATTATTAAATCAAGCTAATTTTCGATTTATTTGCAATTATTTTATCAAGTGCTCAAAAAGATGGTCATTTCCAATATACTATGGAATATGTTGAATAAAATATTAGTGAACATTTAACAATGTATTCCTGTTAATATTGTAATAGCAATATTTCTACTGCGTTTTTACATATTTTCTAGCATAATTGTACATCTTGATATACGTAGGCATTTTCTTTAGAAGTCTTCTAGAGAAAGTATAGAGATATTAAATCTGGTGAACTGGCAGCACAAGGAATTACTTCTCAATACAGTGCAATAGCCATTATTTTATGTTTTATATAACTTCAAAAGGAAATATAATAGAGTTAGATCTAATGGTCTTGATTACAAAGCAGGTTCGTCGCATCCAATCCATTTGTTTTCAAATTTTATGTTTAATAGCGTATGTTTCTAGCAAAGTGTACTGGAGCGTTATTATATTAGAATCTCACTTTAATTTTGATATTCAATAAAATAATTTTTAGAAGCATGAGGAAAATGTTTGTTAAAAATATCTGTATAGAGAGCACTTGCTTAAAGTTATTCAAAGAAACATAGAACCATTTTCTCGAAAACTATTTCCTAAACTACTGTAAAAATACTGTATGTGATTTTTATATGTATTCAATAAGTAATCTGTTAGCAATTTACTGGCAGATTGATAATAAATTCGATCAGGATCTGTCAACAATTCATAGACGTTTGTGTCCACATTCGGCTTATGTTTTGTCGACAATTTGCTGATAGAATCTGATAGCAGATTGGCGACAGAGGGCGAACATGATCTACAATATATTTCAATTAAATAATTTAATAATTCGTGAAAAACAAATTAATGAAAGGATAAATGAAGTTAATTTGTGAGAATGAGTTAATAAAAATTGAATTTTATGACAAATAAATCTATATGCTTTAACGTTAATCGATTTTATATTTAAATTTAATATGTTGGAAAAGGCGTACACAATTAGCTCAATGTATTAGAACAGGAAAGCGCGTTGGAATAATAAACAAGAATTTTGTTTAGTTCTTAGAACAACTTTTGATTCTGTGTTGTAAATAGTTTTAGAAAATGAAGATCTTGATCTATTTAATATTTAACTACCTAGACAGTTCTGGCCGAACAGAAAATCATGATGATATCAAAATGATATCAAAATGACGAGAAAATGAACGAATTATAATGAAAAAATAAGATTTTCTCATTACTTTGACGTCATTTTGATGGTATTATGATTTTTTGTTCTGTCTGGGCTATTTGCATTTAATGTTTTTTTTAATTTTAGTATGCAATGTTATAAGTGAACATAATAGAACGATAGATTTTTCTTTGTTTGTTTACTATCATTTCATGGTAATAAAAATAAGTTTGGAAGTTCTAAAACGATTAAAAATGAAAGAGTTGTACGAACAAATAGTTACGTACCCAGAAACACCAATAGAGATTTAAGTTTAGATTTGGTACAACATCAGATTAGGTAGGAGTGAAAAGAATGCATTGATACAAGTCCAAGATAGAACTTACAGGATAAAGAGTACTATTAATAATACTAATTAGTAATTGCTAAAACTTGCAGATTGTAAATTTTGATTCGACAAATTATTCTCGATCGAGATTTGATTTGGTGAATTATTGAAACTGAGAAATGCATAATTTATTTTTTATAATAAACTATATAACATTCGTAAAATATTGTTAAGACGTCTCACTTAGAAAATATATGTGTTTCATCTATATTAATTCTATAACATCGAAGTTTAGACAATAATTGATTATAGTATGTTGTGGTATATTGAGTATTAGTTTGCAGAATGTGTCTGTCAATTAATTCATCAATGTTCAACAACATTCTGCGGAAATTTCGAAACAGGATTAGTCTGGTCCGAGATTACTTCTCTCCTCATTGTAATGGTCCTCCAGGGAGATAATCTCCAGGGAGATAAAAGGGCTATATAGCTAGTGATATACCCATGTCGCACCAACCTCGTGAATAAACGGATGTTTCTACTGTTTGTATTCCAAACAATGTACATAACAACGTACGTTCACATGTTTAATGTTAATATTAAGTTATCTTCCTAATAACAATCGCCTCATTATCGTGTTTAAGTGTTTACTATATTACTGCATTTACTATATTACTATTATGTCGATACATTGGTAAACATTTTAATATAATGTACAAACATTTAAACTTCTGTTATTACTTATGCTTCGTTATTCTTTTTTCATCAAGCCTCTCAAAATTTTCATTGTTGCTTAATCCCATTACATTCAAGTAACTTGATATATAAACTATATATATATATGTATATAAATTATATATACAGGGTGAGGAAAGAATCCCGGATCGGTAAAATATCTCGAAAACCAAGCGTTTCAGAAAAAAATGTTTCGAGAAAAAGTTGTATGATTTCAAGGGAGACATAAAGCACCTATATCATTTTGTTTACAAATGACATTATTTTCGAGATATTCACTGATCATTACTTTTCTTAAGTGGAAACCCCAATTTTTTATTACACCGTCCTTTTTTAATAATTAATTTAGACAACTTTTGTCTGAAACATTTTTTTACTTGCCTAACATTTTTTGAGATGTTTAAGGAAAACTTGACAACTTTTTCAATATTTAACTTGCGATATCTCGCTAACTATTTAACAAAAGAAAAAATGGTATTAGACGTTTTTGTTCTATTTAATTTCAAGAATTTGTTGTTACAAGAGCGGCCTGACTTTTAGTAACTTACTGATTTTTGGAAATTTCAAAATCATCAAATTAACAAAAGTCAGGGCGCTATTGTAACAATATATTCTTGAGAATAAATAAAGCAAAAATGTCTAGTACCACTTTTTTTTCGACAAATAGTGAGATATCGCAAGTTAAATATTAAGAAAGTTATCAAGTTTTCCTTAAATATCTAAAAAATATTAGGTAAATAAAAAATATTTCAGACAAAAGTTGTTTAAATTAATTGGTTGAAAAAGATGGTGTAATAAAAAAATTGGGGTTTCCATTTAAAAAAAGTAATGCAGTAAATATCTCGAAAATGGTGCCATTTGTAAACAAAATGATATAGTTGCTTTATGTCTCCCTTGAAATCATACAACTTTAGTTCGAAATATTTTTTTTCTTAAACGCTTGGTTTTCGAGATATTTTACCGGTCTGTGACTTTTTCCTCACCCTATATATACAGAGTGGGCGATTATAAGTTGCCAACCCGAAATATGAAGGTAGATTGGGTTAAGACAAACATAAAATTCCCATACCGTTTTGCGAAATTCGTAATAATTATCGAATTATTAATGACAGAAATCTGAGGAATGGGAGCGCGCCGACATAGATGATTGGAGAAGCGTTGCAGCTACTCAGGCCACAGCGCGGCCCATTCGACCCAGCAACTGTTGGTGGCGTGCGGCGAGACGTAGGTCCGGCGAGATAAAACAACGAATAGCAGCGCATTGTCTTTCCCCTCGCCGCGCACCGGCAACAGTTGCTGGATCAACTGGGCCGCGCTGCGGCCTAAGCAGCTGCAACGCTTCTCCAATCATCTATGCCGGCGCGCTACCACTCCTCAGATTTCTGTCATTAATAACTCGATAATTATTGCGAATCTCGCAAAACAGTATGGGACTTTTATGTTTGTCTTAACCCAATCTACCTTCACGCTTCGGGTTGGCAACTTATAATCACCCACCCTGTATACAGGGTGTTTAATAGCTGATCATGCAGATGAAAGTTGGAGATAGATTGGGTGTAGCTGAGAAGAAAAGTCATGTACCATAATGTCAAATTGGCAATAGTTATCGAGTTATTAATTAAAACATGTGAGCCAACGAGCGCGTAGAGAGCGGAGGGCGGCCGCAGTAAGCACGTAGACATTTGATACAGGCGGAGTCAGTGAGTGTCGGTAGGCAAGCGCGCGCGGCGAAGGGCAACGTAAGCGACAAGAGGCGATCACGCGCGACGAGGAACGAGCGAGCGCGAACGACGAGGAGCGAGCGAACGCAAGCGACAAGAGGCGAGCGAGCGCGACGAAGAGCGAGCGAGCGCGAACGACGAGGAGCGAGCGAGCTATAAGGAAAAAGCTATAAAGAAAAAGCTCGCTCGCTCCTCGTCGCGCGCGATCGCCTCTTGTCGCTTACGTTGCCTCTCGCCGCGCGCGCTTGCCTACCGCCAAGCAACTTGCGTTTCTTAAATGGGAATCCTTATTCTTTATTACACTGTTTTTTCTACTAGTTCATTTGGAAAACTTTTGTCTAAAACATTTTTTTATTTGTCTAATATTTTCTGAGATATTTGAGGAAAACTTGATAACTTTTTCAATATTTAACATACAATATCTCGCTAACTATTTGTCGGAAGAAAAAATGGTACTAGACTTTCTTGCTTTATTTAGTCTCAAGAATTTATTGTTACAATAACGTCTTGACTTTTGTTAATTTACTGACTTTTGGAAATTTCAAAATCATCAAATTAACAAAAATCTGGGCGCTATTGTAACAATGTATTCTTGAGACTAAATAAAGCAAGGAAGTCTAGCACCACTTTTTCTTCAGACAAATAGTTAGCAAGATATCGCAAGTTAAATATTGAAAAAGTTATCAAGTTTTCCTCAAATATCTCAAAAAATGTCAGACAAATAAAAAGCTGTTTTAGATAAAAGTTATTCAAATTAACTAGTAAAAAAAATAGTGTAATAAAAAATAAGGGTTCTCGCTTAAAAAACGCAAGTTGACCTTCAAATGACCTTGAAAATAGAGATCAAAGTCAAAGTCAAAGTCATCATGAGATAGCTTACTTAGATCCTTACCACTTTTATTCAGATCATTTTTCTTGAAACTTCAATACTGAAGAGTTATTAGAGTGGTCCGTTACTTTTGGGACACCCTGTGTGTGTGCGTGTGTGTGCGTGTGCGTGTGCGTGTGCGTGTGCGTGTGCGTGTGCGTGTGCGTGTGCATGTGCGTGTACGTGTGTGTGCGTGAGCGTGGGCGTGCGGATGTGTGTGTGTGTGTGTGTGTATGCGTGCGTGCGTGCGTGCGTGCGTGCGTGCGTGCGTGCGTGCGCGTGCGTGCGCATGTGTGTGTGTGTGTGTGTGTGTGTGTGTGTGTGTGTGTGTGTGTGTGTGTGTGTGTGTGTGTGTGCGTGCGTGCGTGCGTGTGTGCGCGCGCGCATGTGTGTGTGTGTGCGTGTGTGTGCATGCGTGCGTACGTACGTGATCTGCACACACGCACACA